CAGGTGAACTCAGGTCTTTTAGGGTCTTCTGCTGCTCCCTGACTGATCAGTTTTGGAGCAACTGGAACAATTCTCTGGGCATGGAGTGTGCACTCCTTAGCCACGGCCCATGTGCAGGAGGGAGGGAGCGGCCCCCGGACTGGCCAGAATTGCCCCCAAATGTGGCTCACACCAGGTGTTATCTGACTGCAATATTGGCTCTGCTGGCTGGGCATGATAGGAGTTGTAGTCCAACAACATCTGGGTCAGGGAAGGCTGGCCCATGTCAGCTGGTGGTGCTTCTCCAACTCTCGGGCAAGGAAGTATTTGCACCACGCACACACCCACGCTCGCACACTCCGTGTATTAGGTTTATGACCAGAGAAAGGTAAGGAAAACGTTCACTTGGCTGCATCCTGCTAGCGCATAGCCCAGAAGCATCTGAATTGTGGCCATCACTTGATGAAAGCAAGTCAACGTAAATTAACGGCATGTTTTAGGCCATGAACTGAACGTCCTACAATGCAATCTTATGCGAAAGTGAGCTTCATTTAGTTCACTGGAACTTACTGCCAGGTACACTTCCTCAGGATTGCAGCTAGAGTGAATTCACACTCCAGAGGATTGGAAAAGCCAGGTGGGTACCTCTGAGGCCTTCAGAACCTATGTAGGAGAAAATTGGGAAAGAACTTATCCACACGGAACCATGGATGAAAAGAGGGCAAGTTCTAAGCAGGCGCAGCCTGGGCAAAGAGAGGTGGATTTGGAATGGGAATGCCTGATCTGGGCAAGACACGGTGGCTCATGTTTTAAAACGCTGCCTTCTACCGCATTTCGCCTGCTGGGGGAACGCCACACTACTTGGCCAAAATGAATTAACTGTTGGTGCTCTGTGCTAGTCCATTCAGTCGATTCACCTGGAGGAAAGTTTTAGCCATAAGGGTGTTGCAGAAACCCTAATATTTTATTTGAAACGTTGTTAAGTAGTTTATCACTAAAATGCATGCCCTTATTTTCAATTACATTATTGAGATGGTTTACAACAAAATAAAAGATATACGATAAACTAACACTCACCAAAGAAGCAACAGGCAGCTGGGTTAATTTAATCCACTACGGATTAGAAGCCTGGGGAAATACAATGCAGTGGCATGAAAGCAGAGTAGGTTCCAGGCAATATTTTCAGAGGGGATTCTCCGGAGTTGGGGTACTACCACGGAAAAGGCTCTGTACCAGCTCCAGCTCTTCCCTGCAGGTGGACATGACATGTGTATATGTCCCAGTTCAAGGGCCCTCTGGATGAGCAGCCTTTTTGTCTGTGAACCTTTTCTGCCTGAGTTATTTCCGAAACTATACTCCCCCCTCTCCTGTCCACTCAACTGTTTTTACAAATAGGAACGTCCTTGGGAGACAGGGACTTTAAAGACACGAACGCTCTGAGAGAGCGCGAGAATACCTACGCGAGCATATGCCTATCTGTGCATTTTACATTTTTTCTTTATTTTTGTCCTATGTGCCCGAGCACTGCTGTTGCTCCCCTGTATTGCTTGAAAGGGTGCAAAGGAGTAAACTGACATAAATCGTGATAAAGCCCCAAAGCCGATGGCTTTCAGGCAGTGCGGTATCACTCTTAGCAGCACAGATTGGCCAATCTGGGCTTCTCTTGGCAAAAGCCGCCAGCTCTGTGCCAGGTTGCGATGCCAGAATGTGTCAGGGCGAGGGCAGTGTGAGAAATCCTCTCCGAAGACAGAAGATTTAAGTGACATATTCCTGCTCAATGGGAGCCTGTCCTTCCTAGTTCTGCAGATCATGAAATCTGGCCCAGGAATTGCATGCCACCACCCAGGAAACGGCCTCTCTAGCAACTAATGCGCTTGACTTTCCACATTTAAAAACATTTGGTACACAGACCTGGTTATTATGCACCCCAGGATATCAAAAGAAAAAAGGGAACTCAAGAGGACAGCTCAAATATTTTTACTTATATTTAAATGTTTCTATAAAATTTAATATCATGAAATCCTTAATATTTTAATTCATTAATCTCCATACTGCGCAGTAGCCAAAGTTCTGAGTGGTGAACTGCAGTAGTAAACACAATAACATGCAATATGGAATAAAACAACAATAAAAGCTCATAATTGCATTAACATTTACAACCGTGTTTTGACAACGAAGCCGCTAAACCTGCTAAAAAGGAAGCACAACCGCCAAAACGCCCCCCCTCACACACTAATTTGAGTTGGTAAGTGCATCAACAGAGAGGGCAGTCTCAGTCTGGTGCAGAAAAAATACTAAATGTGGCCCAGGGCTGCCTCAATGGAGAACTTACTCTATACCTTGGGGCCACAATAGAGAAGGCCCTGCTCCTTGTTCTTGGGTGGGGGTGGGGGCTTTGTCTTGAATGGGCAACCCAGGCCCATGAACTTTACCAATGAGCTGCTCCGGGTGGAGGTGGGACGTTCTGGAGCTGGTTTGTCGGGGGAGTCCACCCTGCAGTCTAGACTCTCCCTGGGGGTGAGGAAGAGGCCGAGAGGACTGCCTGCTCAGCAAGAACTGCCCCCCCCCCCCCCAGGCTGGATCGGCTCCCTTGTTCCTGCTCTACTCTACCCGGCCTTTGCACGTCCTCGCTGGAAACCAGTGGGGGCGAAGCTTTTCCTCCCTGGCAGAACCCCGACCGATGCATTCCTAGACTGGGTGGCCCGCTCAGAGCGAGCGCCCTTGAGGCGCCCTCTTCGCCCGCAGCGCCGGTCCCAGGGCACGGCCGGCTTGCCGGGCCCCCTCCTTGTCGCCGGTCTCGGGCAGACCCGCGGAGCGCCGCGCTCTCCCGCACGGCACGGCATGGCACGGCGGCCGACCTTGGCGGGAGGAGGCGGCTCCGGCAGCCTTATGAATGAAATTCGCGGCGCGCGCGCGCCTGCGCGTGTCTGTCCCCCCCCCCCCGGCCTGGGATCAGCGTGGATCTGCGCGGGGAGGGGGCCGCGCGCCTCCTTGTTGTTCTGATTCACAGACTTGGAGCTGCTCGGGAATAAAACCGAGGGCGCTTGACGTCAGAGGGGAGCTATCAGCAGACTCGAAGCAGCCAGGAATACTAAGAGAAACTCGCCCGCTCGCCACCGACCTGCCGACGTTACCAGCCATGCGAACCGGAGGCTGCGAGGGCTGAAGGAGGGCTCGCGAAGAGGAGGGGAAAACCCACCGGGGCATTGCCAAAGGTAACCCTCCTCCGCCCCCAAGACCCCCGTCCCCCCGCTGCCCCGGGGCCCCGCGGGGCCCCGAGCCAGAACCGCCGGCCACGCGGCGCGCGGGGCCGGATTCGGGGGGACAGCCGTCCAGCCCGCCCCGCGGCGAGGCAGCTGGGAGGGGGGCGGGGGGGGGCGGCCGTCGCGATCGAGCCCTCGCCCGGCGGGGCTCTTGCGGGCGTCGTGGGCCCGGGCGATGGCCCGCCCCGCGCCGTGGGTGCGCCGGTGCGCGAGGGGCAGCGCGGTCGTGACGGCGGCGGCGGCTTCGCCCGCCTCGCCGCTCCCGGATCGCGCCCTTTCCCGGACGGAGCAACCGACGACCTTTGGGCGACCCTCCGATGGCTCGCCCTCCCCCCCCCACGCGCTGCTGGCGTGACGCGGGCGCAGGGCTGCGCGGCGGGGGCGCGTCGCGTTCACACGGGCGGGGGCCCCGCGCGCTTGCGGGCTTCGCAGGCAGCCGCGGCGGAGCTCCTGCGCGGGCGGGCGCGCGGGGGCCAGGCCTCTCCGCGCCCCCCCGCTGGGCCGGGCGGGCCGGGGCGAGAGGTGTCCCGGGGGAAGTCGCGCCGGCGCGAGTCGCTGGTCCCGCTGCAAAAGGGAGCGCGCCGACGAGCGCCCCTTCCGAAAAGGACCCCCCGCCCCCGCCCCCGCCTAGCGGAGGAACCGGAGAGCTGGCCGTGAGATTCGGGGGCGCCGGGGACGAATACGAAAACTGGGGAGGCCTGCGCAAGATCTCGGCTCTCCGAATTTGCACACGTGGACGAGATAAACAACCCCGCCAATGAGAAGAGCCCTCCCCTGCCCGGGGCTGAACAGAACCCGGGGAACGGCCCTCGACTGGGGAGGGGAGGGGAGGGGAGGGGAGGGGAGGGGCCCTTCAGCCTTCCTACCTGGCTCCTCCACGTGCTAGAAGAACTCTCGCCACGCCGTGCTGCCGGGGATGATGGGGCTTTCGTCCACGACGGCGTGGGGGAGGTGTCCCGCGAGGGTCCCATGGCCGTGAGGTGTCCGGGCAGTGCGAGGGGAGCGACGACCCCGGCGGGGCTGCGTTGCGCGAGGGTCGCTCAGGGATGGGGGCAGGGGCTGGCGTGCTCGCTTCACGCCCTCCTCCGTCCTCGGGACAACGAGGCCGGCCGGCTGCCCGCGGTCCCGCGAAGGCCCCCGGCGGCCGCTCACCGAGCAGGGGGTGGGCCAGCTGACGCCGAGCCCGATGTATCCCTGTCGGGGCCTGAATGACGCGAGGGGAAAGTGCGGGAAGGCAGAGCAGCCGCGAGACCGCGGGAGCTCCGACAGAGGGTTGCCGAGGCCGCTGCGCGGCGCGAACGGAAAGGGCCGCGGAGGGAGAGCAGAGAGACCTGCCGGTCCTTCGCCTTGCGACTCAAGCCTCGCCGGTGGCAGTCTGCACCCCCACGCGCCCACGGGCCCAGATCTGGCTGCTCCGCGGGCATGTAGATTCGCAGGTGCAGGAGCCAGGGCCGAGGGTGGGGTGGCGGTTTTGGTGGCAAATTCAGGCAGAAGCCACGCTGCCCGCCCGCTGGAGGAGTCGAGGACCGGCGGAGCCCCCCGCCCCGTGGCGTCAACCGCGGGGATGTGTGCAGACATGTCGGGGGCTCCCCGCCCCCTTTGCAGGTCTCGGAGCACGGGGCTTGCCCCCCGCCGAGCAAGCCCCCTGCCCCCCCGCCGGGCCGCGCGTCCTGCGCTGCTCCCCGCTGCCTCTCTCCTGACGGGTGCTTCTTCCTCCCTGCAGCCCACGCTCCGCAGTCCCGCAGCCGCTGCGGCGCCATGGACGAGCATCTGCGGCAGCAGCAACAGCGGCTCCTGGGGCTCCTGCAGGCCTCCTCGCGGCCCCTCGCCAGCCTCTGGCCGCCGTCGGACGCGTCGGCCGCCGCGGGAAAGGACGCGGGCGGCGGCGCGGCGGCGGCGGCGGTGAGCCCGTGGGACGTCGCGCTGTGCGCCACCGGCACGGCGATGGCGTGCGAGAACGCGCTGGTGCTGGCCGCGCTGGCGTACGCGCCGGGCCCGCGCGCGCCCGCCTTCCTGCTGGTGGGCAGCCTGGCGCTGGCCGACCTGCTGGCCGGGCTGGGGCTGGTGGCCAACTTCGGCGTGCGGCACCTGCTGCAGGCGCCCAGCGCCACGGCCACGCTGAGCGCGGCCGGGCTGCTGCTGGCCGCCTTCTCGGCCTCGGCCGGCAGCCTGCTGGCCATCGCGGTGGACCGCTACCTGTCGCTGTGCCACGCGCTCACCTACCGGCCCGAGCGCGCCCTGCCCGGCGCGGCCGCCGCGCTGCTGCTGCTCTGGCTGCTGTGCGCGGCCGCGGGGCTGCTGCCGCTGCTGGGCTGGAACTGCCTGCGCGCGCCGGGCGCCTGCAGCGTGCTGCGCCCCGTCACCAAGGACCACGCGGCCGCGCTGGCCGTGGCCTTCCTGCTGCTCTTCGCCCTCATGCTGCAGCTGTACGCGCAGATCTGCAGGATCGCCGCCCGCCACGCGCAGCAGATCGCCGTGCAGCAGCAGCAGCTGGCCGCCGCGCAGGCCGCCTCCCCGCGCAAGGGCCTCTCCACGCTCTCGCTCGTCCTGGGCACCTTCGCGCTCTGCTGGATGCCCTTCGCCGTCTACGCGCTGGTGGCCGACGCCAGCTACCCCGCCGTGTACACCTACGCCCTGGCGCTGCCGGCCGCCTGCAACTCGCTCTTCAACCCGCTCATCTACGCCTTCCGGAACCCGGACATCCAGAAGTCGCTCTGGCTGGCCTGCTGCGGGTGCGTCCCGGCGAGGCGCTCGGCCAGGCCCAGGACCTCCAGCGACGTGTGAGGTGGGCGGCGCGCGGGCCTGGGGGCGGGCCCCGCCCGCGCCCGCGCCCCCGCCCCCGCCCCGGTCCTCCTCCTCCTCCTCCTCCTCCGCGCAGGGGGAAGGGAAGGGCGCCCCAGCGAAAAGCGAGGCGACGCCTCCTGCGGAGAACCAGAAGGGTGGCAACTAACTGCCTCGTCAGATGGTTATTTTCTTGCACGTGATCTCGTTTTGATAGGATGCGTCCGATCTGCTCAGCAGCCCCTCCCGCCTCGGACTGAGTGGACTTTTTTAACGGGGGGGTGGGAGGGTCGGAGGACTGGAATGTTGCCCACACCTGCCGCCCCAGCGGTGTTCGTGGGGAAGCCGCTGGAAATCGAGGCTGATTGGTGTGCTGAAGAACGCAGTTCTTGCCCTGATTTTTTAACAGATGCATTCTTCCCTTCTGGGCTCCTGCCTGTCTGGCAGAAAGCAAAGGAGCGGCGAGTGCTGCTTTGATTTATCTTGCAGATTGGGTGTGTGGGGTGCATATGTCGAAATGGGTCTTGGGCATTCAGCCTTGGTTTTTCCTCCGGTCCTCAGAATTGCTCTCTCTCGGAAGAGGAGAGCTGGGCAAACCTCCAAGGACGCCGCATTGCTCCTGTTTAAGCCAAGCACCGTTTTCTTTACGAAGGCAAAGGTGGCTTTTTATTTCTTCAGTGTGTCATGTATACCTTGGGGGGCCCTTTTAGAGAGCCAAGACACGGCTCTCGAAGCGGAGTGCCTTTCATTGTCAAGGCCTCGAAGGAAGACCCAAATAGCTGCACGTTTGCTTCTCCTTGTTTTGATCTTGAATGTGTTTTTAAAAAACAGCCACAAAAAACGCCACCAAAATACGTTAAGTTGACAGTTTGCGCGGGATCTCCGCTGAGCACAAGCGCGGCTCGCTCAGTTCGGACCTCCCTTTCCACTCGAACCCAGTTTCGTTCTGCTATGCAATAACAACGCGCGCGGAGGGCCGGACCCTGCGTCTCCTCCCCGCAGGGGCGCTTCAGCACCCAGAGGCCGGACAGCGCCACGGACTCGGCGCGCCTCCCGGCCCTTCCCCGTGCAGATGCTGAAGGAGGACGGGCGTGTCTTAGGGAAAGATGTCGCGTGTGAATAGCCTTAGCACGCGAAAGGCTGTGTGAGTGTGTGTGTGTGGTGTGAGCCGGGTGTACACCTCTGCCCTTCCTCCATGTGGCCAGCCCTCGCAACCCTTGCCGAAAGCTGCATTGTCCGGGAGTCTGCTGAGGAGGCGGAAGGCAGGGAGCCTACAGGACTGAATGCACTTTAAATCCATGTATCACTGTGTGAGATCGTGGCAGATCCTTTGATTTCCTGCAATTGCACTTCAAGTGATTCCTCCCCATCCTCAGGCACAAAGGTTGTTGGGGTAACCTAGAAATGAATGCAAGCACAAAGCAGTGGAGGATGTGGAAAGCGCTGTGTGGTTGGTATGATTAGACTGATCATGATCATTTTTTTCAAAAAAGCAAGTGAGGAGTGTCACTTTTCAAAACTGTGAATGGTTTAAGAGGAGCAAAGGATTCAAGAGATCATTACTGTTAGCTTGGCCTTATGCTTGGTATACTTGAAATTATTGGAGTGCCATGTTTGCATGGGCACAGTTTGTTAAATGCACTTTGCTCTTTGCCTGTTCTATGTGATTTGGAATGCGCAGGGGGAATTGTCTCTCCTTTACCATGTGTGCTTTATTTGGGCAAGAAAGGGGATGCGGTGGCTTCGTTTAGTAAACAGAAATCAAAATCTTTTAGTGAATGCTACTGGGGAGATCATGCCAAAGAGGGAACATAGTTGCTGAGGGAGACCTCACATCCAACCAATTTCTCCAGTGACTTGCTCGAACTTGTTCCTGAAGGCTGCAGTCTGCGGTGATTGTGATGACTGGGAACTTTGTCAGTGACCTCCAAAGGAGCAGGTTTGTTCCCATGTGTCCCAAGCTCTGTGGGGATAGAATTTGTAGGTCAACAAATGTTTTATCAAGTATTCAGGTCAGCAAGATGAGCTGCAATTTACTAGAAGAGAAAAAGAGCAGGATGTGAAGGTCAGAATGTTCTTCCTTCCATATGGTAACTAGTTATGTCATCAGTTCTTATGTGCACACTGGTGCAAGAATGTTTTAGGCACAGATTTGTACCATTCCATTTGGCTAATTCCCTTTGTGACTCTCAGAAGCAAATTCCCCAGCAATGTCTGTGGCAAGTACTTTCTCCACGTAAAGCCCATGTTTGATCTGAAAATAGGTATATTTGATATTCTTAAATCCCTTGAACATTTTTCCAGTTCCAGATTCTATGTATTTTTCCAATATTACATGCTTGCAGTATTTTCTTAGATTAGATGTCTATATTCTCAACCCCACTCCCAATGCCATCGTGTTCCCAACTTACTGAATCAAAAAGACACGCACCACCTAGAGAATTTTTGATTACCATGCATTGCCACGATTATTAGCTTCTCCCCCCCCCCCCATAAAACAAATGATCTCTGTGAAATCTACTCCAGCATTTATTTGGTGCAAATTTAGAGATTTGTGAGATTATTACAGTACATGGCAATGCAAGTCCAATTCTACTTCAGCTCTGGTGTCTCCTTTCCACTTCCATGCCCATAAGAAAAGTTGATGCCGACCGTATGTAGCTCATGCAGTTTTGTTCTACGGACGTCTGTCTGTGGGTGTGTGAATAGCTGCAAAAACTGCAGCGTGCACAATATTTCAAGCTGATTTTTGAAAAGAAAAGCAACAAGAGTTGGTTTGGCATCAGTGCGAAACCGAAATTTGATAGTGTGTTGAAGAAGTGTTCGTGTGTGTGTGTGTGTGTGTGTGTGTGTTTCAGGTGGGTTTCTCAAGGGGTTCAAATCCTGGCCAGCTCCAATTTCCCTTTCTTTATCTTTTTTTCCCTGTGCCACCACTTCCCACCTTCTCACAATTCCTGGCATGAGAGGACCAGGGACCTCACCCGATGGGAGACAGAATCCCAGCTGGGCCATCTGCACTGAGAAGAATCCTTTTCACCTGCATATTGCCTCACTTTTGGTAGGGGGGGGGGATTGACCCGAAGGCCTTAGCAGAGGATTGCTTTTTGATGTGCAAGTCTTGTGCAGAAGAGCTTGGTTGTGGAGCCACACTGGAAATGGGTGGTGGTGAACGCAGCCGGCAGCTTTCCCCCAACTGGTGCCCTGCAGATGAGCTGGCTACAACTGCCATCATCCCTGGCCAGCTGCATGCTGGTTGAGGACCACCAGCGTTGTCACCCTGAACCTCTGCAGAGCACCAAGGTCGGGAAGGTTGGTTTATGGTCTCAGCGATACCACTGAAAGGACGACATAGTCCGGCAAAGCAATGGCTTGGCCGGTAAGATGTCCCTTATTCAGTGGGAATGGTTGCCTCCACCCACCAAAGGGACACGGAGGGCCCTCGTTCCACTGAGATCCACCAACCCCCTGCATTGCACTTTATGGACAAGTGGGAGAAGCTAGGGATCAATGCCGTTTTTGCACTGTACCTCTATGGTGTGCAATATTATGCATTCATCTGTTAAGAGTAATTTATTTTTCTTACTGTACATAAAATGTTTGTGAGTTGTCAAATGATATTTAAAATTATTTTAAAAAATTAAAAGAGATGTCAAGTGCTGGGCATAGTCCCAGGTCATGTGCCAAACTGGTTGCTACTTCTTTACTGGGTGAGACTCTTGATTGTCAACACAACTTGAGCTTAATGTTGCTGCCCATATTTTCAGCATAGATCACCAGATCCAGTGCAGCCCATCAGCTGGGCATGGTTGGCTTCATGCACCCTGCCCTATTTGCACAGTTCTGGGGGGGGGGGGGGGGCAGGAAGTTTGGCCAGCCCCTGCAGAGCCATATGTGGTGAGAATGAACAGAAGGGCGCAGCACATTAGAATTTCCCTAAAATAAATAAATTTTCTGTTTCCCTGGATGGAGGGATTCATCTCAGAATGTATCTTTTCTGTTTAGGTTCACCCCAGACTTTTACACAGTTCAGCCAATTGGTTTGGGTACAGAATGTCATGGGGACTAGTGACCCACCTCTATGAGTTAAAAGCACCCTGACAGCCACCTACAAATAGTCCTTGCCCTGTGCACCATTTTTCAGCCAGGCAGGAGCATGGAGCAGCAAGACAGAACCCAAGAACTGAGACACTCTGGTCTTTCACACCAACAAAAGCAGTGGAATGGAAGTTCCCACTGGTCTCCACCTGGATCCTCACTCCTCCAGATCAAAAACAGTTGATTTTGGGGATTAGATTAGATTAGATTATTCCTCCCGAGAGTGGCTCATGCAGAAACACCGGCCTGTGTGAACACCTCCCTGGCTGCTCAGTTGTCTTCACTCGAACCTGTTTTAAAAGTAGAAGAATGTAGTGTCCTTTTGAAAGATGGGTACAGGAACAAAGCGTGCTGATTTTAAGTCAGAAATCCTGCCCCAGCGCCTTTTCCCCAACCTGAAACTTTCCAGATGTGGAACCTCAACTCCCATCACCTCATTCTCAGCCAGCACATCCTGCGGCCATGCTGGGAGTCATATTCCCACACATCTAAACAGCACCAGCTTGGGAAGGTTGCCTTAGATTGCGCTGCATTTGCAGGCCAAGGTGACTTTTTGCAGATTGGCCCAAATCTGTGAGCTGATGGGTGTTCGGCATGAACTGAGCCAGCCGGCCAGGGCTGAAAATTGATAACCCGTTTAATGCGGGCACGAAAACACATGCCTTTCCCTCCAGTCAATGGAATTTAATAACAATGCTGAACCTGGATGCTGTCACTGATCCTCAGAGCTGCGTTGCATCACTCTGCTTCCCTTCGCTGTTCTGACTTCAGCGGGATACTGAGATTCCTCTGGACACAGTAGGTGCGTCAGATTATTACGAAAGGAAAGCAGCATGAGCTGGTGGGGGATTATTTTCCTCAGAGCTGCAGCTGAAAGAATCAAATTCCCTCTCTGATCCTGTTAATTATTAGCATTCTTCTCCCTCCTCCCACACACAGGCGCACGGAAACAGCTCGTGCAATTCCCATGTTTAAAAAACAAATGAGCATACACCCAAAACCAGCACTCAGATGCAATCAGCTGAGTCTGGTTTGGAAAGACAGAAAGAAGACCAAAGCCACAAAAGCAGAAATCCTCTTAAAATCTTTATTTTCTGTATTATTATTATCATTATTACTATTATCAACATGCATAAAGTGTCAACAGCTTGGGTTTATGTTGTACAACATGTCTTGAAAAAAAATAAAAGAACCATAATTTATTACTAGCATTTTTTTTCCAGATCTCATATAGGTTTTCTTCTACAGGCAGGAAAAAAAGAAAAATCCATTTGCAACCATACAGTTGGTCCTGTTTTGTCAGCATTGGGACAAGCAGAACCCACGATATCGGGAATACTTGTTTTACAAACAGCAAACTCTGCACAGTAGATAAGATACAAGTAGCAAACATTTACTGATCTACTGACTAAATGCACGTGGTTAGAAGAACACCTCATTAAGACAGTGAATAACTTCTTGTATGGTTGCTCTTTCAGCAGTTCTATTAAGAATGTGAATCAATTAAATCAATACTTTGAAGCATGTGCAAAACCCCATATACTGGCTAGACCCCTTGTTTCTCCGGTTAGTTGCCCCTTTTGAGCAGAAATAAAATATTAAAAAATTCTTATCTCAAAAAGAAATCTAAGCTGTGATATCAGCAGAAGATGCATCAACATATTTCGAAGGATCGCTGGCTTTGCTTGGTGTATGTGGTGCTTCCATAAGTCAAATGGAGGATAGGTCTTGACGGCTGAGCCCTGTGAAAGCTCCATAGATCCTCCATGTTCAGGAGCAGTGTGCCCCTCTAAACAACACATGTTCGGAACATGCAACAGGAGAGGCTTTTGCCTAGCTGCTCTGCATGCGAGCTCCTCCAGAGGAGTATAAGTGAGACGTTGGGGAACGTGTGGCCCTCAAAATGTTCCTGGACCACAACTCCAGTCAGGCCTAGCCAGAACAAGGATGATGGAAATGATGGCCCAACAACATCCGAAGAGCCACAGGTTCTCCTGGCACTGGGTTAGAAGGTCTGAACCAGAAGAGTTCTGCATTTGCTTCTTGAGCGCATGGGAAGAGAAGTGCCCTGGTGAAGCTACGAGGGGTTGCTTTCCTCAGCAATGCTGTGGCGCACCACTCATCCTGGCCCTGTTGCGCCGTGGGATGCAGCGCCACGAGCTGAGCGGACCAGAGCGGGGAGGCGGGCACTGCCACTGCAGCAGCGTCACTGGAGGCCCCACTGCACCAATGGCCGTTCCTGCAGCAAAGTTGTTCCCGGCCAGACCTCTTCAGCCCTGCATCTCTGAGTGCAAGAAAACCCCTACGCACAGAGGGTGGTGGGCCAGAGGAGAAGGCCAGGCTAGAACAAGACTGGGCATCTCCGGGGCTGCCTGGCAGGGCCCCTGGAGGGCCCAACAGGCCTGGCCCATGTGGGGGACCCGGCTGCCTCCAACCTTCTTCGCGGCGGCTTCAAACTGCAGTTGTACTGGCTCAAGAAAGCCAGTGCCTTTGCGACTTCAACCAGATCTGGGGCACACTAATGCTCTCTGCCAGGAACCCATGGCCAGGTACTGGAGAGGCTGAACACGCACCTCTGAAGAGAGAGAACATTCCTGGGGGCAGAGGGGTTGGGTGGGCAGGCCAGGAACACGCCCAGCCATAAGGGGCCGAGGGGGAAGAAGCCTCACACACTGGGGGCACGCCGCTGAGTGTGGAGTTGCCCCGGGGGACCCTGGGGGACCCCGGGCTGCAGCATCAGGATTCTGGAGTGACTTGCCATCCCCCTTCTTCTCCAGCCCATCGTCCTGGGGCTCAGGGAACGCAAGCTTTGCCACCGGTCCCCCAGCCCTCCTCACTTCTGCTCTGGCTTCTGTCCAGAATCGGTCACCGCTTTCGCTGCAGTGACACGGTAACAATGTGGATGGGGTGCAGGGACACAGGATGGAGACGGAGAACTGAGTCTTCTAAAGTGCAGTGCAGGTTCTGTGATCTTTACTTTGAACTGCAAGATTCCAAGGGAAGAGTCTTTCTATTGCCCTTGGGGAAGGAATTCACATGATCAGGCCAAGCAGGAATAAGAGGGCAGTGTGTGTTAATGACAGCCCAGGGACAAAGTTGGATCTATAATGGCTGTTAAGCAGTCACTGCAAACACTCGACATTTGGCGGTGCCAAATATTCTCTCATCTCAGAGTTTTCCTCAAAATAACAGATAAGAGGCAAGCGATGCAAATGAACTTATCGGCTGAACAGGCTAATTATTTCAGTTCTATTCAGCCCTCATTTGCTACCCTGGTGCTGCCCTGCTGCTTCCTAGAACCATGTTCCGTTTTTAAAAAGAAAAAAATAAAATATTTGAACAAAGTGATAGCCGTTTCCCACTATGTTGGTCTTCAAGGCAGTTTGTGAGGATATTTAAGTAGCTTTGCTCTTGCTCTCAGCAGGCACTGATCTCCTGTCCACCAGCCCACTCTTCACCGGGCAGACCCACCTAGCTGGAAACACGTATGTTCTTCTGCCGAGCTCAGGAGGCACAGTTTTAGCAACTGCAGGAAGCTCGGCCAAATCTGCCACAGCAAACCTGACGCTGGACCTGCTTTCTTCTCATCCTGCTGCTGCTACCATTGTGGATCTGGCAAACGCCTTCCAGCCCTGCCAAGCCACGGCCGCAGTTACTCTGGCTATTGAGCCTGAACAGGGGGCAACTTCCACCCACAAGAAATTTCCATTTAAAGATTGAAACGCAGCCAGTGCACCAACTCGATTTATGAAAAGCAAATCTGAATGCAGCCTCTCCCATGTATCAGTTCAATCACGCCTGCAAACTAGCAGCATCACCACACGGGCAGAATGTGGGGCAAGGGCTCATCCTCCCCGTGCAATGAGAGGAGCGGAACGTGGTGGTGCTGACGGCCGTTCTGGGGCCGGGGGCCAGGAAACGGACATCTTGACAAGGGGCCCTCTGTTCACAAGGGAGAGTAGAAGGGGAGTTGTGCATTTGCCAATGGATGCGTGTGTCCTCTGGACCATCCTGGCTCCCAGACAGGGTGCGGGGAACTTAACCTGCTGCCCATGAAGAGGGTGGTGGGTCTCTCTCAGCCTGGGATCACGGGCCTGGAACGAACAGCCCCACCGTCTCTAATGGAAAAAGCCAGCGCATCCACACGTCCCAGGAAAAATCCCCCAACCCTCAACACCAGCTGTGGATCTGGACGGGCTGGCGGGCGCAGCTGAGCAGAGAAGGGGCGGGCAGCGCAACCCGGTCCTGCCTGCAGAAGTCAAGTGGGGCGATTCTCCCACAAGAGCATCCGTGCTTGATTTCTTGCATGTACCCACCATCTCTGCCCATCAATGAACGGCCTGAAGGTGGCGTGGCATCTGGCTTCCTTCGGTGCAGTAAAGGATGGGAAGTGAAGGAATCTGGGGGAAGCGGAGGGCTGGGAGCTGGAGAGGTGGCGAGCAAGCCAGTCCTCTTTGTGAAGTCATTGTTGAGGCACAGTTGTGGCATACTAGCAAAAATGCACGGCTTTACTGAACGGCTGAAGTGGGCTTCAACTGGACAAGTCAAGGACAACTGGGATGCATCCCAGCCTGGGGCAAGTTACCAGGTACAATGCCAGTATATTCGTTTTTGCTCAGGTTTTCCTAAAGTGGAGGGAGGGAGGGAACTTGATGCGAAGTGGGACGAAATTGCATTCCCTTTCATCATGGTATAGAAAGGGGAATATCAGCTCCCTTATGTAATCCCTCCAAATGCTCTTTTTAATGCAATCAACGCCCAATCACCAGAGTGAAAGGAGGCACTAGATGGACACCGATCCAGGCTGGGTTCCACGCTGCAATCTGGGATCCCCCCTTCCGAGGAGCACCGGCTCCGCTGCAGTGGTGCAGCCCAGCCAGCGTTTGAAGGACTTTGACAAAAAGGAAGGTTTTATCAGCTGTGCCCAGAACTGGACTGTTAATAGCATTCAAGTGAGACGGAATATTTAAATATTCACGTTTTCATGATCTGTGTCATCCCCTTTGAGGTTCTGGCTATGAAAGATTGCATAATGCTGCTTGCTCATATTTAGCAAGGAAGCAGGCATGGTGTGTATTAATGAGTGTGAAGTCTCTGCTGTCCAGCTGCAACTGTGCAATTAAATTTAGCAGTGTTACTCCTGATGTGGTTTATTATATCATGCTGTCATTCTGCGGATCTGATGTTTTACAAAAGCCTTCCTCAAACTGGGTGCTCCCCTGATGTCTTGGACTACAGCTCCCATAATTCTGAGCCAGTAAGGCCATGGGTCATTGTGGGAATTCTAATTCAACAAATCTGGAGAACATCCAGTTGGGAATACTATGCTGGGAAAGTATGATATGGGAGAAAACTACAGAAATCCAGAGAAAGTATGGATTCTCTGATCTAGACAAATGTTTTCACCATGAAGCTGTGATTGTGGGGGAAAGGACACTGCTCCAACGCTCAGCAAGCAAAGGCATCCTTGCTTCCAATCTGATGGAGCTGGAAAGAAAGGTCAGGCTGCAAAGACTGTTTGGTCTGCCTAGCTTTGGGGTTCCAAATGAGAAAACATAAAGGTATCTTAGAGCAATAGCTGGAAAATTAATCAGCCAGAAGAAATATGGTGCTCCATGGGAATAAGAAGGCAGACCACAAGGGTGGTGGAACTCATCCCTCTCTGTGTCTCTTGCTCTCTCTCTCTCTCTCTCTCTCTAGAAAAGCAGTTTGCTTTGTCTGTCAGTGCCCTAATCCTCCAGAATTCAGCAAACAGGGCACTCAAAGAATATCCTGTAGAGGTGAGATGAGTGGAGTCCCTCTCCATGGACTGTCCTGGAGATCAGCCACAGCAACTTTGTCCCGCAAAGCCTTTCAGAGGTTAGGAAGGATTGGCACCCATCCCATCCCATTTCTACCTGGGCTGATATCTCTCTCCCATTATCCTTGAATGCCAAATCCTCCCCCTATGAAATTTGCTCCCTTTCCGGCATCCCACCTCTGCTACTCGGCCACTTCTAGGTCCAGAAAGAAGGTATGTGCCCTGACATACGGCTGTGGGCCGTCCAGAGACAAAAGTGATTGGACAGGCTAGAAATATCCCAAATAAATAAAATAATAAATGAAAACTAAATATCAGGACCACTGAATCGCACACCTTGAACTGGAAGCTGAACTTCCCTGGGCTTCTCAGCCCATGTGAACGAATTGCAGCTTGTCTGGCTCCCTGCCTTGACCACGACAACTTTGGGCTCTGCCCACTGTCCTTATGCCTTGGCTGCCATCAGAGGTAGCAAGTCCTTTAAGCCCTGCTAGTTATGGTGAGGACTAACAAGCTAAGGGTTCCAAGGGAAATTTGATTCAGACCAAACTCCGCCTTTGGAGACTGTGGCAAAGCATTGCCAGCTCGCTGAATCTTCAACTCTCGCCTCTGGACAAGGAAAAAGACCTGCTTAGGAAAAGAGGAAGAGCTACGCCGAGAAGCTTGTGGTTCATACTTCCAAGTCCCACACTTGTGAGGTTGTGACAGCTTCCACACAAGTACAAGGTGCAGCTTTCAGTCTAATGCAAGAACGGGGAGGCTGCCCGTCGAGGAGAATCTGCCCCACACCAGCGGGTGCAGATGGACAATTGCAACGTATGGAGATACCCAAGTGAGGGCACTCGGGTGCAAGCTTCTTTCAGCGAACAGGGACACCCCGTGTTCACAACCGTCCCTCGCAGAGCACACATGTCCTGGGCCGAACCCATCTGCCACTGCACGGAGAAGGAGGCGCCCTTATCTCGGGAGGGGCTGCTGGTGCAGCCCATCACAAAACAGGGATGCATCCATTGCTCCATCTGAAGCTGCTCTCCTCTTCCGGGCCAAAGCAGCTGTGGCCAGACCAAGCAAGCAAAGAGTGGAAGCCCTGAAGAAGACCTGGAGCTGGCCCTGCTCCTCCAGGGAGTACAACGCAGACTCTCTTTTCATCTTGGGGAGATGAGACATGAGAGGACCACTCTCCAAGCCTGTGCACCAGTTCTGGCTAATAGCAGGGGTGTTGCCCTTCTCTTTTTGCAGCATTCCCAAACAGAGCAGGAGGCGCCCACGGGTCCCTCGCTGGGACCTTAACCCACGACCCAGAACCCAGAGAAGCCTTATGTCTGAACCTGAGATGCAGGGCTTTTGCCTAAATCTGCAGTGCTTACATAGCAACCTGGAGGTCTTTGAGCAGCAAAAATCACTCCGTTTCTCTTACTGATTGGTGGAGAGATGGAAAGCAGACCATTCGTACCTTACCGAAAATCTTTGACCCAAAAATAACACTTCCTCCATCCAACTAAAGTTAGTCCTGATATGTTCTGTAGTTCTATGCAGGTTGCTTCCAAAGTAATCAGTATGGCTTACTCTTAGGGTGGTGTATATGGGATTGCAGCCCAGATCCCACTGAAATAAAAGGAACAAGCTTGTCACAAGTAATTTTGGTCTGATTCAGGCATCATGTTCTCCTGGGAAGTCCTCTTAAGAGTGACGTGGTATATGGCACCCAACAGTCACTTGGACTGCTTTTCCATGCTAGTGCATGGTTCTTTAAAAGAGCAAGTTTATAATCTGCTGCACACTTAACTGGGAGCAAGCCCAATGGAACTCGGATTACTTCCAAAGAAACATGGAACTGGAAACTGGGTGCGAATATGAGGGTGTTGGCTTGCTTTTCTTTTGTTCTTTTCAGATATCTAGCTTGTAAAAACGTGAGTCCTTTAATGATTGGTTAATGCAGGCCTGAAAAACATTCTTTACAATGAAGCTTACACATTGAGTATGGTTCTGAGAAAGGGAAGAACTTTGCTAAATTGACTGGGTAATGTTAGCAATGTATTGTAAATTTGAGCTGGCCAAGTCAGAATTTTCCTATTATAATCTTCTAGTTTTGATGGACCTGACTTAATCTTTTTGAATTTAATGTATAGTTGTGTGTGTGTGTGCGAATTTTTTCATTGCAATGTCTGAAAAACTACATGTAACAATCGAAAATCAACCAGATTGCCAAGATGAGTTGGATCCTACAATTTGAGACATTTGACATGATATTTGCAGTTGTGGGCCGGAATTCACCTGTCACATACACAAACGGCCACCTACGTGGGATAGATATCTGTGCACCCCTGAGTACAGAAGCTGGTTTTTGGTTTGTTTGTCTGTTTCAAAGTGCAGTCAAAGGGGTCTGATTTCCCCTGGAGGCTTGCAGTTTGGAATTCCCATTTAAAGCCAATTGATCTCCCGTTCACTGGACTGGATCGCATTTTGTGTCACTTTCCTACAACAGCAGCTGCCCCTTGCTTTGCTTGACCTCCCCTGGCGAACTGCCTCAGCATGGCTTCGACTCGGTTTCCCCTCTGTACTCAGGGTCTCTGCCACCTTAGGCGGCCACACACACACGACGCCTGGGGACACACGAAAGCTTGGCCCGTCCCTGTGCTCGTCTTGAAGGTGACGCAGGACTCGTTTTTTCTAGAACTAATCAAAAGTCTGGCCAGCCTTCTCTAGCCATGTGTTGGCCACACTGAATGGGGCTGATGTGAATTGTAGTCCAACGCAACTGGAGGATCCCAGGTCGGATCCCAGGAGCAGGTGCAGGAAGCAACAGAGAAAGCTTAAAATCAAGGGAACGCCATTCTCCTAACCTGCGAAACCGCAGTGCGGTATTTTCCACAAGAAGGAAGGCTTTTCCCCACCCACCCCAAGAACATTTAGGTCTAGAAAGTGCATCTGCTTGAAACATCAACATTGTCTTTGCTATTATTTAATCACACCCTACGTCTGCTTGTTGCTATGGCTGTGACCGCTTTCGCAAGCCACAGAAACCCACAACTGGGTACTCATGCGGCTTTTGTGTCTTTTCTCCAGCATGTTCAGAGGCTCGACTGCCATTTTCACACCTGGGGAGGGGGCAACGGGTGAGCCATCGGTCTCCCACCACAGACGCTTTTCAAAGACAAGAGTCACTAATGCACGCTTGCCCACCAAGAGGCCAAGTTAAAAAAAGGTTCAAGAACGCAACATGGCACAAAAGCAAAGCTCCTGAACATGAGCTGCTGGAAACCACGACAATTTACCTGCAGGGACACCCAGTCACACACACCTGGCTGCGGAACGGTGGCCAGAACTTGGGAGACCCCCTGCACCCTGGCGCAGTGCTCTGCCCTGGGATCAGTCCGACCACTCGTTCTCGTCCAGTTCGGAGTCGTCGTCCGATTCGCTGTACTCGACCGCGATCCTGCGGGAGAGGATGGTGGCCACGTCATTGCCCACGGGCTCTTTCTTCGCCTCCTGCTCCCACTGCTCCTGGACCTTCCGGAGCTGGATGCCTGGCGGGCGGAAGGAGAATGTCTCAGGGTCAGCCTGTGCAAACGTCTCAGGAGAGCCCTGATGGGGCCCTGGGAAGGCCTGCCTGGTGCTGGAAGCTGGCTTTTTGGAGCTGGGCTTAGACCTTCTTCCCTCAGGCCTTTGGTGGCATCTGAGGAGACTCTGAATCAGGTCTTGATTTCTTTCCCTGTTGAATCTTGGGTCCAGGCAAAGCCGATCGCAAGGGGTTGCGAGAGCGCCAGCCACAGTTCATGCTCTTTGTTGAGAGGGGGTCCGTCTCTCACGCACGGCAGGCGTGAGAGATGCAGGGGGCTGCTCAGTGGGAGCGGTGGTCAGGTTCTGGCCCTGAGGAAGAGTCTCGGAAGCTCCTCCACCTGTGCCCAGTGAAGTTCTTGGGCGAGCGTGAGACTCAGCCTGCTTTGGAAGGGGAGGAAGGGTCTTCAGGAAGGGAGGGGACACCTGTGCGAGACCTGGTCCTCGACCTGGTGGGAGGAGGGAGCTGCCCGTGGGAGGGGGGGTGTTTTCAGGTTGGACTCAGCACTTCGTGGGAGCAGAGGTTCGTGCTTCAGCCTTGGCAGAAGGCTGTTCCAATCTCGAACTGCTCCGTGATCTCTGGAATCTCCACAAAGGAGCAGCCTTTCAAGGGATCGGTTGATACTCTGGACTCGAAGGGAAGGGGGGCAGGGACCAGCTCAGGGCCTTCAGCACCACATCCCCGTTTCAGAAACACAAGCAAGGCTAGAAAGGTCGGATGCACAAATAAACCAGCAAGCGGCGACCGCGGCGCCCGACACTCACCCCGGCGAATGGCAGCCAGCAGGTCGCTCCGGGCATCGCTGATGGGCATCAGGGAGACCTGCGGCTTCCGCGGCTCGGCCGTGACGGCAGGGGGGGACGCGGAGTGGGCTGGTGAGGCGGTGCCTGTGGGGGGGCCAGGGGGAGGAGGGGGTGGTGCGACGGGAGGCCCCATGGGGCCCGTGGGGGGGGGGGAAGCGGAGTAGGGGCAGGGTGGAGCGGGAGGGGGAGAGGGAGCGTAGGCGTGCGTCCCCACAGCGGCTGCGCTGGGCGCCATGGCAGGGGGGGCCGAGATGGGGCTGTCGAAGGCCGTTTGAGCAGAGGGGATGACCGGGGGAGGGGGGGGGGGGGCGGGGGGCACGAAGTACTCCATCATCGGCACCTGTTGGGGGCTGGAGAGAGAAAGGAAGGAGCCTTCCTGAAACAGCGACTGAGCCAAACAAACCGGACAAATATTTAAAAAGTTCCTTCAAGTCACACAACCCAGTGATGGAGTTGCTTTTCACCTTCTGGCATGATGCGATTCCTTTCTGGCTGGGGGTCAAGGCCAGAGAGAGGCCTGCAAAACTGAGATTGAGTTCAGTGTGGCCAATTTGCTCCTTTGCTGGGCAACCTCGCCTCTGTGGAGACACAATTGTCCTGGAAGGTCTCTCTCCTTTTTCTTTTGCAGCAAACGTGTGTCTCTTGGGATCGAAAGAACTCTCTTGCATGCCAACTCAGACTGCCGCAAGGAGAACCTTTCCTACTGCCACCAATTCTCTTTCCTGAAATTTCCCTGTTACTCCGATATGCTGGGCCAGATACCAAACTCAACACCCAGACCATCCGCCAGGTAACTCCTGGGCTGGGGTGGAGAAGCTCAGCCCCTGGAGCTTCCCAGATGGACCCAGCCTGGCCCCGGCTCGACCCCTTTCCCCAACGACCAGTGCTTTGGTAGATTCCCAGCACCTGTGTAGTCTCCCCCCGCCCCCACCAAAATGCCTCTCCTAATGCTCCATTTTTGGGAGCAAGCACTTTAAACTAATGAATAGGGACCCAGTGAATAAGGATTTGATTTGATTTAAACATTTATATGCCATTGTTTGCAGCAGCCTCAAGGATGTTCATCCTTGTCACCTGTCCTTACAGACCGAAAACCTGCCCCACTTCTGTCACCCCACAAGGCAGGCATGAGTTGTCCCCCAACCAAGGCAGAGTCACAGGAATATTTATCTATCCCGTGTGTTTCCCAGGATCGGCAGGACTCTGTTCAGGCAACCTCTGGGTGGTATTTTCCCATGGGGAAACCAAAGCCAAGACGCTTCCTCTTCATCACATGGGGCATCATGGCAAAGGAAATCCTGGGAGGCGAGCTGGCCAAATCCCTGGCTGACGGCCTCACTCGCCTTTCAGCAACCGGCCACCTGGAAGCTTTGGAAAAGGCCGTGCTCTCTGCTGAGGGGAATTTCAGAACTGGCAGAGGAAGAAAAGCAGAAGGAATCCATACCCATAATCCTTGACTATCTGAGGTCGCGGTCCATTTAGCATAGTCTCTGACGGCTGTGGCACATGGGGCTGCTGGACCCGGTTGAGACTGTTCTGCCGACTCCCTGCAGCCGGGGGCCTGAAGACATGCTCCTGGGCCTGGCTAGCCACCAGGATGACCTCCTTGTTGTCCGAGGACTGGTGGGAGGCAGGGGCCGCAATCTGCTGGGCGGGGTGGTTGGGACTGGCCGGGTATGAGTGATCGGCTGCATCGGATGCGTAAGATCTGCCACACACAAAAACACCCGAAGGTAGTACACCTGGACGCCAGGGATGGGTGGGAGGAACCGGATGGAAGGGGAGGATGCAGGGCACCTATCAGCTGCTGAGGCCAAGATCTCGATGTGCAAAGACACAAGGTGCAGGCACCAGAGGGAGGGAGGGAGGGAGGGAGGGGACTGCACTGCACTGCCAGAGATTAGCCTTTGGCATGCTCGCGGTCCCCCAAGCTCGGGTCCCCAGGGACACCCTCAGCACCGCAGGAATGCCGCAAAGCCCACACAGCATGTCCGGAGCACCTGAGCAGTGAGCGCCGCAACGCGTCGGGAGCATTTCCGCGTGGTTTTGACCTCCCTGAACCTGCCTCTAGCCGCAAGAGAGCCCTTGCTATTGTGAGCGAGAAGAAGCATCCAGAACAAAAGAAGCGGGAGTGGAGCCAAAGGCCCCACAGAAAACAGCAACAGAAAAGGCAAAGATCCAGCGAAGCGTGTAATACACAAGACCTGCCTATTGCCCGGGGACAGTGATCCTTCCGATGAGGCCATGTGATATGGGGATGGTGAGAACCTGCTATCGGGCCGGAATTCTTTATCATACGCCATCATGTTCCACTCCAGGCGCCGGTTGCGAGCCTTCCGCACTTTCTTCACTTCCCGGGTGGAGTCCTCTACCAGCCTCTGCTCCTGGGGGAGCGTGGAGAGAGAGAAGCACCGGCCACGTCAAACGGCTCCGCACTACAGCATGCCCTTGCCATGTCTGGCTGGTGCGCACATACGGACAAATGCGGTGGCAGGATCCTGCACTCTGTTCTGCAATTTACACATAACTGGTCCTACGCATTAACCCTTCTAGGATTTCATCACAATATGCCCAGTCTGAAACATCCCCAAATTTCAGCCCCCAACCTTTTACAGCCGCCCCTCCCCATAAACCAACCATAACCATGACACAAAAGTACCCCAGAATCTCCATAGGAACAGTTGTATGGGTACTTTTACACCCCACCCCACAATAGGTCCCAGACAAAAACACAAAAGAAGGTTCAGTATGGATCATCTTGGTAAGTTTTTAAAACTCAGCTGCCTAGCTAACATCCCCAGCAAACAAAATTAAAATCCATTGAGGGAACACATTGCTGTGATATTTAACAGTTAGTAGGCTAAATCTATGGCTATAGGGAGAAAAGGCCCATGGGCCAAGCAAAGTTATGCGGATTTCCTCATTTTTCTTTGCCTGAGAAAGGATTAAATCTTAAATTACTTATACTTGCCAAGAGCAGAAAACATTTTTATGTTGACTGAAACTTTCTCGGAGAAAACTTTACCGAGAAGACAGGTTTTTCATTTGCAACATTTTCCTTGCCTGGAGCACTTCTTTCTGGGGTCAGAAATGACCCCAAATGGGAGTAATGCTAGTTTTTGGTTAATGCAAGACTGCTTTTTGAAAACTCCAGGGCTGAAAAGTCAATGTACTGGGACACTAAGAAACACAGGAAGCAAGAAAAGTCCTTCTGGAGATCTCCTAAGCCTCTCCAGGATGACTGCTTGTTTTCCACCAGCTGGGAACTGAACTCTCAATATCTTTTTCCAGGAACTGCATAGATAAGGACATAGCAGGCCCTGCTCAAAAGAAGCAAGCCCATCAGAATGTGCTGCCTCAGTACACATCCTTTCGTAATGGATGTCTGGCAATGCTCAGAACTGTTTCCCATTTCTGCATTTTAATAGTGTGATATTTACTAGAGAGCTGAGCTTCCAAGTGTTCGGCGAAAGCATCCTACCTAAGCTGCTTGAATTAACCAGTTTATTTTAGCACCCCATTAAATACTGGCCGGGGAGGGTGAACTTTCTCCTCTTTTGACCAGCTCTGCTTGTGCAGCTTCTACAGACACTTCCAGAATCCCACGCACTGACCATTTCCTTTTACCCACTTTTACCTTCTGCCTGCGTTTTTCTTTCCTCTTATCCTCGGTTGCCTGCAACATCTTCTCTTTCCACAGGTTGAAGAAATAGGAAGGGTCCGTGTAGAATTTTAAGCCATCTTTCTTGTCATCTCTGCAAATGAGAAAAGAAGAGGGGGAGAGACAGATTCTGTTATCTGTAATCGCCTAGAATTTTCTCAGAATCAAAAGTGCTGAGTGTCTGTGTGCTGCAGCTGTCAGAGACACAACAGCTGGAACATCCCATCTTGCAAGTTGCAAGATGGGATGAACCAGAACCGCAGAAACAGAACTTGGTTCTGAAGTTGCAGTTTATGCAAAATGGGACCATGCTATGCCCAAGAACCTGGTTTAGAGCTGTAAAGCTTTACGTAGCTCAGAACTGCATTGAATTGCTGGTGTGGTGGGACCCCTTTGGCTGAGTTCTGTACCTGTAAGGCGTGAGGATGTTCAGCGGTGGAGGTTTATCGCAACGCTGGTACATCTCCATCACAGGGTTTGGGATGGAGTTGCGAGACACAACCTGCTGGTTCTGAATCGTGGAGCTCTTGAATGCTTTCCGCATGTTGATATCCTGCAACGAGACTGGAAAAGCGCAAGGCAGACGTGAGCCAGGGATGCACCGAGCTCCGAAGCCCTTGTGATTCCTGTGCACAACACAGACCTGGTTTCCTGCAAGGTTGAGAGTGATCGGAATTATTTTCATAATCTCACCCAGAAGCAGTTGGCAGCTGGCTCAGTGCTGTGGCCACAACATTACAGAAGATTAAGCAACTGATTTATCTGCAGATTTTACCTCTTCAGACCATTCTTTTATCAGTTCTTATGATCTCCCATTTTCAGGCAGGGAGAAAAGAGACTGATTCCTCCCCACTTTCCTTTTGCTGGTTTCCTCGCATTTGTGCAATTCCTCAGCACCGCTGAGCCTGAGGCAGTGGCCATAAGGTTCCCGCAGACAACAAGATGGACAAAGAAAAGCCATTTCCAGAATACTCCGCGATGGCTTACCTTCCTCCACTGTGGAGTCCAACTGAGTCACCTTGACCACCAGAAGATCCACTCGCTCCTGCAACGAATTCATCCGCATGTAGAAGCTATTGGCTTCATTGAAGAGTTCTCCAAAAATATCTTCAGCATGTCTGCCTGCAAATTACAATTATAACCATAAGCCACCTTGCGAAGATGGTGAGAGAAAAACATATTTCAAACGCACCACACCAACAGACCAATTCTCTGGTGCCAAGGTTCATAGGAGATAGTAGGCTCCCTTTCCTGGGTCCACAGGCATTCTTCTGACCTTGGGAGGGTTGTCCCCACTGCCCCACTGAGGAGGAGGAGAGCAGCTACTCTTCTTATGAGGCTCGGGAGAGGATTCCGGCGACCTCAGAGAGGACAAGAAGGAGCTCCTTCCACTTTCAGAGAGCCACCGGGGCAGAAGAAAGACTTGCATTAGCATCCCTGCAGCCTCTCCTCGAGTCATTGCCCACGGCCATGAAGTGCGCTGGGTGGGCTGAAGGGGTCTGTCTAGCTGAATCTTTTTCAGGGAGAGATTCATGGAATCATAGAATAGCAGAGTTGGAAGGGGCCAAGAAGGCCATCAGGTCCAACCCCCAGCTATGCAGGACTCCAAGTCACACCATCCTATGAGATCAGCAACAGATGCCCTTCTCCGGGAACACTCTGTGAATGATATTAGGAGGGTGAGTACCCGGAGGAGGGCCTTCTTTGCGGTGGCGCCCCACCTATGGAATGCACTCCCCAGAGAGCTCCGCCTGGCGCCATCATTATTTGTTTTTTGGCACCAGGCTAAGACCTTTTTATTTAAAACGTAATTGTTAAATTATTTGTATTTATAGGATTTTAAATTTTTAGCCGAGATGCACCAGAGGTTTTTAAATAAACTTTTTATTGTTATATTGTTATTTATTTATGTATTTTGTTTCTGTTGTGAACCGCCCCAAGGCCTCGTTGTGATGGGGGAGGCATAAAAATGTTTTAAATAAATAAATAAATAAATAAATATTTGGATGACCGTCCAGTTTCTTCTTGGGATGCCTCTAGTGTGGGAGAGCCCACCACCTCTCTAAGCAACTGCTCCCAAATGTAGTATTGCTCTGACAGTGAGGAAGCTTTTCCTGATATCTAGCTCGAATTTCAGTTGTCGCAACTTGAGCTGATTATTCTGTGCTCTAAACTCTGGTATCAGTGAGAAGAGCTCTTGACCTTCCTCCTTGTGGCAGCCTTTGAGGCGCTTATAGAGGGGTCTCATGTCCCCGCTCAGTCTTCTCTTCTCCAGGCGGATCATGCCCAGTTCTCTCAGTCCCTCCTCACTGGGCAGCGTTTCCACACCCTGGATCATTTTTGCTGCCCTCCTGTGGACGCTTCCTAATTCAAAGCACCTCTGCGTCTCCTCCCACCCTGCCTGACTATAGGAAAGGTGGAGGGCATAGGCTAGGTGGAGAAAGCCAGTCCTGGAGCCCCCGGTCGACTGGAGCATGTGCGCCCGGCCATGCTGGCCCCCCCGGGCCACCGCCAGCACCCCAAGACACACAGCTGCCGCCCACTCACTGAGGCTTCCCAGCTGTTTGATGATGGCTGCTAAGGTGCTGTTGGTCACGCATTCCAGCTCGCTGGTCACCCCATCGGGAAGCGCTCCTCGGCAGAGGTGGCGAGGTTCGATGTTCCTCTTCACCAAGGGCATCCTGGCAAGGGATCAGAGCCTCTTCGCCTAGGAAGAGAAGGGGCAGAGATCCGCTCATTCCTTTTCGACATGCTGCTTCCCTGAGAAGGTAGGGCAGGCCGAGAGGCAGGGACTCAGCTCAGCTCAGCTCAGCTCAGCATCAGCCAAGCACCATGGCCAAAGAGGGGCTGAACCCAGTTCTTCCCAGTCTAAGCACATGGCAGCACCTTGGTTTGCATGTCATTGGTTTGGTGTCCTGAGGGTTTTGGTCATCATGCTGAGACTTTTGTAAAGGTAAAGGTTTCCCCTTGATGTGAAGTCCATCATGCCTGACTCTAGGGGGCGGTGCTCATCTCCGTTTCCCGGCCGAGGGAGCCAGTGTTTGTCCACAGACAGTCTCCGTGATCCTGTGGCCGGCATGACTAAACACCAAAGTGCACGGAACACTGTTACCTGCACGGAATGCTGTTACCTGCCCACCGAAGTGGCACCTTTTCATCTACTCGCATTTGCATGCTTTCAAACTGCAAGGCTGGCAGGAGCTGGGACGGAGCAATGGGAACTCACCCCTTGTGCAGATTCCAACCGGCGACCTTTCGATCTACCAGCCCAGCAGCACAGTGGTTTAAACCACTGTGCCACCTGCAGTCCCGACTTTTGTAAAGGATGGGATAAAAATGCTGCTGCTGCTGCTAATTTCACAGAGCTCCCAGAACCAGAACATGGGCATGCATGGCCATCCAGGGGAGCAGCTTTTCCCACAGGTGGCCTTGCAGCCCGCCAAGGTGTTCACCCCAAAACAGCGCTGGTCTGACTGTTCTGGCAGCGCAGCATCTCTGCCCAAAACTAAGGACACGAAGGAGGAGAGCAATTAGTGGCCACGGGTGATGGTGGGATTTCTCATATAGGCACCAGGAGACGAGCAGCACATTGCAAGCGTGTTCTTCTGACTCAAGCAAAGGTGCGGCAGGTGACGATAAAAGTGTCCAAGCCCCGCAGCATCACTTTATCCCACGCCTGCACAACACCGACGTCTATCCGAGAATTCAGAGACCAACACTTAAGGCAGGCTGGGCACCTGCTGAGGGTCAACAGCCCAGCTGAGGCCCACTGGCAAGAACCCCGTGGACGTCCCCTTCCTCTTCACCTGCAACCTGCTCGTTTATCCATCGTTCCTCCTCCCTGCATTTCATCCTCACAACAGCCCTGTGAGGTAGGCCAGGCCGAGAAATGGTGATTGGCCACGGGTCAGTCAGTGGGTTTGCCACTTAGCTGGCACTCCCTGGCTCCATTCTAAATTCGAGCTGCTACACAACCCTACCTCTGCTTAGATGATTTAGACTGCACGATTTAAACAAGCTTAAATACATTTCATAAACAAGCCGCTGTTGGGCCAGGGGAGTGGGGGTCCCTGTCCACATATGGTGCTCTCAGCTCGTTCTGTCTGCCTCAGGGTGCGCACCTTGACCACGCGGTGCAAAATTTGCAGGACTGCTTCCCTGTGCAGAATCGCCCCACAAAGTGCTGTGCATGCCGAGATCCTTCTGAAAGTATACAAGCGAGGGCTGCAGTGTGCCAGGAAGTGAAGCTGTGTGTGTGTGTGTGTGTGAGTGTGTGTGTGTGTGTGTGTGTGTGTGTGTGTGTGTATGTGTGTGTGAACACAATTTCCAGTGTGGTGGAGGACTCTTTCACCATGCATGACCCCTCCTCCTCTCAGCAAGAAGCAAAACCAGGATAAAGGATGCAAGGAAGGAATAGCTGCAACGTTAATTACACCAAGGAATGCAGTGAGGTTTCTGTAATGTCCTCAGGTCAAAGAATCCTGCCTTTCTTGCTTAAGAATTTAGACGCAGCATTTTCTTTTTAGCACAATCCACCAATCGCCTGCATGGCTCTACGCTGAGCTTCCATGCCAGATCACCTTTGCTAAGCTGGAGAGATGGGGGCCTGCAGCTGGATGGGTGACCTCGTGTGGAAGCGGAGCAGGGGTTGGGCTTGATGGCCTTACAGGCCCCTTCCAACTCTACTTTGGTTCTGTTCTATTCAGCAGGACAAGAAACAGGGAAACCACCCTGCGTCTGCTTTGCTTCCATTTGAATAACAGCAGCGCTGTTAAGTACGGTTTTATCTGATATGCCCTGGCTGCTTTTCCCATCAAGAGCGTCTGTGCACAGTTCTCCTCTGCCACTCATAACAAATCATGAGCTGGAGGATTTGGGGGCGAACTGGTGTGCATTCCTTCCAATGATCCCCAATGCGTGAGGAATCCTAAAGGCTTTCCCTCTTTTTGCTCATTCTGAACGTAGGTTATTGTTTGCGACTGGGAAGGTGCCACTGCCAGGACACGTGGATCGTGCTCACGCGATGTCTCAATACAACAGTGGCCAGTGGCAAGCCGCAAACCCAATTAGTCGCTACCGTCCTGACGGACTGGCAAGGAAACAGAGGGACTGCTGGAGACTCAAGTGCCACTTATTGATGGACTCAATAAGACACTGGGGACCCTTGTGCTGAACTGGCCTTAATGAACTCATTTCCCAAGCCTCCCTCCCTCATCTCAGAATGGGCAAATCTTTCCATTCCAGCACTGCCACTTTTCCATCTTTGCAAAACATCCACCCTTTATTTCATACTGTTCCATTCCAGCATTATTGGAGTTTTTAAAAAAATCAGAACATACTTAAAGATGCAATTTCTCACCAGAAATTCATGCATTGCCACACTTCATGCAAATGCCTTTACACAGGTGCTTGGATAATTTAGATTGACAAAGCTACGTTGCAATGCCTAGAAGACGGGAACAAGGGGGGGGGGATTTTATGTGGTGGCGGCCCCCACCTCTGGAATGCTCTCATGAGGGCACCCACCTTGCAACCCTTTCCAAACCTGTCTAAGCATCTTCTGACCGCTGGCTATGCTGGGTGAGGATGATGGAAGTTGTAGTCCAATCCATCTGGAGGGTTACAGCTTGGGGAAGGCCTGGATGAAGCCACCATATTTACAGAAAAGTATCCTTCCCAACTCTATTTTGAAAATTTGGGGAGGTTTGCGTGTGTGTCTGTGGGACAGTGGTGATGGCAGGACTGAGCTGAAAAAGAAGTTCCACACACATACGCAGAAGAAGCTTTGTGGAACTTTTGACCAAGAGCTCTCTATAAAAGGCCAGCCCAATCCTGTCTTAGTTGAAGAAAAACAGTTCTGTTTTCTGGGAAACGAGCTGCTTGACAACTCTTATCAGGACTGTTCCCATGCCTGAGCCAATCTTGCAGCCCCTAATTTTGCAATTCGGGCATGGGGACAAGGAGCGTGAAAGAGGAAAAGCATTTACTGAGCAACTTGAAAGAAGAACACGATTGAAAAAGCCCAAATAATAAGGGCCCAGATTCCTTCTGCCAATTAAGGGGCAAAGAGATGGCCAGCAGCTCCTGCCCTCATGGAACACATTTGCGAACACCCATAGAAAAGGGAAAGAGAAGAATTGGACTGAGCTGAAGAATGGGCTGGAAGAAAAGCAGTGCTGGGTTCCATCCAGGACTCGCTGGATTCTGCAGAAGGCGGACAAGAGCCTTGGGACCAGGCCAGGCTCAATCAGCCACCCTTCGCCCATTAAGCATTTGGCAAAGCAACTAGTCCTGTGTGAGCATCACAGCTGAATGCAGAATTAGCCAGGTGACGCTTAGCCTATATTTATTTATTTAGGAAACTTCTATGCTGCCCCATTCGCCAAAGCCTTGGGGCGGCTCACAGACATAAATAAACTTCATTAAAATAATATAAATTAACAGTATAAATTAAGTCGCCCTGGCCAAAGAATAAAATAAATAAATACTATTAACAGTTAAAATGACGTTTGAATAAAAAGGTCTTGGCCTGGCACTGAAAAGGAAATAATGATGGCGCCAGGCGGACCTCTCTGGGGAGCACATTCCATAGATTGGGTGCCACCACAGAGAAGGCCCTCCTCCGAGTAGTCACCCTCCTAATTTCCTTCACGGAGGGCTCCCGGAGAAGGGCCTCTCCCGCAGATCTCAAGGGGCGGGCGGGCATATATGGACGTAAGCACTCCTTCAGGTAATCAGGACCCAAGCCATTTAGGGCTTAACAGGTCATCACCAACACTTTGAATTGGGCCCGGACTTCAATGGGGAGCCAGTGAAGCTGACGGAGAACTGGAGTCATGTGAACATAATGCCCAGTCCCCGTCAGCAGCCTGGCAGCTCTGTTTTGAACCAATTGAAGTATCCGGACTGTCTTCAAGGGTAGCCCCATGTAGAGCGGGTTACAGAAGTCAAGACACCTTCCAGCACTGGATTCTAAAGAGGCATGAACTGTCGAAAGGGCTGGGATCAGCTTGATGAAGCTATGAGGGGAACTAAGATGCAGTCGATCTCATAATCACCTAGCCAACTACTAAAACCCCCCCGCAGCCAAGTGCCTTTAGCTTTCATCTATTGGTTATGCCTCCACAATTCCCAGGCTGAAGAGTTCAATTACGGGTGGTGGGAGGGAAACCCAAGCTCCAGAAGGAAACTTTCAGAAACTCGGTGCCTCCTGGAATGACGGCTGCCGCACGGTACGAGCCGAAATGATGCTACAGAGACTACAGAGTGAGTTCACCTGCTGCCCGCTGGCCTGCATCGTGTCACTGAGGCAGCAAGTGCAATCAAGCATCTCCAGAAATGATCCAGTAATTAAGTCCCACCGCGAATGAAATAACGAACGCACATTATGGACTTGGCTATTGCGCAAGGCATAGAAGAGGAGGTACTGCAGAACGGCTCTGGTGGGAGAGCTAAAGATTATTTCTAGCCTGCCCAGTTGAAATGCGGCGCATTGGAGGCTGTTTTCCGTACTGATGCTGCTTTCGGCTCCTGCTGCCCGCTCAGCCCAGAGACCCATCACGGGTTCCACAGGTGATCGTGCCAAGAGCCTTGCAAACATTCCCGCGTATCCTCCAGCAAGACTTTGTGGATGGGAGTATCAACCCTGCAGCGACTTTGGCAAAGGAATAGCTCCCTGTCCTCCTGAGGGTTCCCTCTGGAAGCTCAGCACAGAGAAACAGGAACGTCAGTCGGCCAGTCGCTCCCAGATCAGGCTGAAGCGATCGGTGCTGAAGCGGCACGGGGATGGGATGCCGATTTCCTCTGCCGCCCCTCTCAGAATCCCCTCTCTCTCTTGCTGCCTCTGCAGTCTTCACAGTGGGTGGAAGGAAAATGAATTCCTCCCCCAGCGATATATTGTTCCCCATCGTGATGCAAATAATTTTATGGTAGCTTGCTCCCGAATGGGCAATTAAGACCGATTTACTTTACAAAAGAGCTGCTCCGGCAAGGGAAACTGTCAGAACTGGTTTGT